CACCACTCCTGTTGCTTAACCGGGCAGTGGGGTCACCATGGCAGGGGCCCGGGCTGTTCTGCAAGACCCTCACGCAGCTGAAGCATGCAGCCCCCAGATCTGCCCTGGCTGTAAGTTGCATGGCAGTGTCTCAGGGAGTGTGTCTAGCTTCAGCAGCAACTGCTAAGAACCAAGGGAGGAAGTAGGGAGCACAAAGGAGGAGAGTGAAGAGAGCCATGCTTTTCTCTCTCCCGCACCATGCCACGCCCGTTCACCCATCCAGTTCCCAGCCCAGAGGAGAGAGGGGGGGGGGGAAATCACCTAAACCATTGGATTAGTTCAAGCAACAGCCCCGCTCCGAGCTGCATGTGAAATCTCAAAGTGAACCTCTCATATAACTTTTCTTAAGTTTTGTAATGGTGGCTTATAAATGTGTTTTTTTGTTTGCTTGTTTCCCCCCCCCCTTTTTTTTTCTCTCATAGTGCTGGTATAATTATGAGCTTGGGAACAAACAATTTTCCAATTGTTTCTCCTCAATAGTTAACAAATTATGGTTATCTCCTCTAACAACTTAAAATCTCTCTTTTATTTGGAGTCCTTGATCAAGGAGTGAGGCTGGACTAGAAAGATGTATATTCTTTCAGTTTTCTAATAAATGAAATTAATTATCAACTGAACTTATATAAGAAGATAAACTTTAATGTATTTGTATGTTCTTTGGCATTTCTATTTCAAAAGCAGTATTCGCACAGACTCACAGAATGGTTGAGGTTGGAAGGGACGTCTAGAGATCATCTAGTTCAAGCCCCCTGCTCAAGCGGGGAGACCTAGAGCATGGGACACAGGATTGTGTCCAAGTGGGTTTCAAAGATCTCCAGAGAAGGAGACTCCACAACCTCTCTTGGCAACCTGTTCCAGTGCTCTGTCACCCTCACTGTCAAGAAATTTCTCCTTAAGTTCCTGTGGAACTTTTGGTGCTTTAGTTTGTGGCCGTTTCCTCTAGTTCTGTCGGCGGCCACCACTGAAAAGAGGCCAGCACCATCCTCCTCACTGCCTCCCTTGAGGTATTTATAGACACTGATCAGGTCCCCTCTCAACCTTCTCTTCTCCAGGCTGAACAGGCCCAGCTCCCCCAGCCTCTCCTCATACAGCAGATGCTCCAGTTGCCTGATCATCCTTGTAGCCCTGCGCTGGACTCCCTCCAGCAGCTCCACATCCCTCTTGTACTGTGGAGCCCAGAACCTTATTGTCCATCATGACACCCAGGTCCTTCTCTGCAGAGCTGCTCTCCAGAAGGTTGGTCCCCAGCCTGTATTGATGCATGGAGTTATTCCTCCCCAGGTACAGGACATTGCACTTGGCCTTGTTGAACTTCATGAGGTTTCTCACCACCCAGTTATCCAGTCTGTCCAGGTCCCTCTGGGTGGCAGCACAGCCCTCTGAGGTATCAGCTAGTTCTCCCAGTTCCGTATCATCAGCAAACTTGCTGAGGGAGCACTCTGTGCCTTCATCCAGGTCACTGATTAATAAATTGAACAGGACTGGACCGAGGACTGACCCCTGGGGGGACACGGCTAACTACAGGCCTCCAATTAGACTCTGCACCGCTGATCACCATCCTCTGGGCTCTGCCATGCAGCCAGTTCTCAATCCACCTCACCGTCCGCTCATCTAACACACACTTCCAGAGCTTGCCCAAGAGGATGCTGTGAGGCATGATGTCAAAAGCCTTGCCGAAGTTGAGATAGAGGACATCTACTGCTCTCCCATCCTGTACCCAGCCAGTCATTCCATCATAGAAGGCTATCAGGTTAGTCAAGCATGATTTCACAGAATCACAGAATGCTTAGGGTTGGAAGGGGCCTCTGGAGATCATCTAGTCCAACCCCCCTGCTCCAGCACGGACACCTGGAGCACATGGCACAAGGTCACATACAGATGGGTTTTGAAGATCTCCGGAGAAGGAAACTCCACAACCTCTCTGGGCAGCCTGTGCCAGGATTCTGTCACCCTCACAGGAAAGAAGTTATTCCTCACATGGAGGTGGAACTGCCTGTGTTTCAACTTACACCCATTACCCCTTGTCCTGTCACCGGCCACCACGGAGAAGAGCCTAGCCCCATCTTCCCTACAATCACCCCTCAGGTACTTGAATATGTTGATCAAATCTCCTCTCAGCCTTCCTTTTTCCAGACTAAACAGGCCCAGCTTGCTTAGTCTTTCCTCATATGACAAATGCTCCAGTCCCTTAATCATCTTCGTGGCTCTCCGCTGGACACTCTCTGGAAGCTCGATGTCTTTCTTGTACTGGGGAGCCCTTTTTTCCATTCAGAATATCATAGTTCCGTTTCTTTAAATGCAGTCGGGCTAAACAATAAAGGTCTTTTTGGTCCATCAGGGCCAGTTTGGAACAGGTTACATTAAGTAGCATGTTCAGCAAAACCCCATGCAGCTATAAAAGGGTCGTGAGGATGTAGTGGTCCCAGTGACTGAAATGTTTTTAATTCTTCAGTCAGAGTTTTGACTGCCTCTTTATGTTCTAGTTCCCACTTCCAAGGTTTGAGTGAATATAATGGATTGGCAATAATAGAAAATCCACGTACATGCTTTCTCCAGTATCCTAAAGTTTGCATCAATTGTAATTCTTTCCTTGATTGGAGCATTTGCAGCTCTTCAATTTTTCTTAAGAAAACTGGAAGAATCACTGCACTGTCAGCTATCCACCAAGTACCCAAGAATTTTATTTCTTTGCTTGGTCCCTGGCATTTTGCAGGTGGTACCTCTATATTAGCTTCAAGTAGGATTTGCCATACTGCTGTCGCTACTTTCCCAACCTTTTCGGGAGAATCACCCCAAATGAGGAGGTCATCTATGTATTGGTACAATTTCACATCCTGAGGAAGTGAGCCTATCTGCAAAAGTTCAGACAGTGCAGCATGTGCAATAGTAGGTGAATGTTTATACGCTTGTGGGAGTCGATTGGAAGAGAAAGAGGAAAGGTCCCAAGAGCACCATCAGATTGCATGTTTAAAATACTAGTTCTCTAAGATTAGAGAAAGAAAAATGACGGCTTTAAAAAAATCTACCTTCTCTCCATAATTCACAGAATGGTTGAGGTTGGAAGGGACCTTGAGAGATCATCTAGTCCAACCCCCCTGCTCCAGCAGGGACACCTAGAGCACGGGGCACAGGCTCACATCCAGGCAGGTTTGGAAGACCTCCAGAGAAGGAGACTCCACAACCTCTCTGGGCAGCCTGTTCCAGGGCTCTGTCACCCTCACAGGAAAGAACCTCTTTCTCATATGGAGATGGAACTGCCTATGTTGCAATATGTACCCATTACCCCTTGTCCTGTAACTGGCCACCACCGAGAAGAGTTTGGCCCCATCCTCCCTACATTCTCCCCTCAGGTATTTGCACATGTTGAGAAAATCCCCTCTCAGTCTTCCCTTCTCCAGGCTAAACAGGCCCAGCTCGCTCAGTCCTTCCTCATACAATAAAAGCTCCAGTCCCTTAATCATCTTTGTCACTCTACAATGGACCCTCTCTAGAAGTTCCACCTCCCTCTTGTGCTGGGGAGCCCAGAACTGCTCCCAATACTCCAGGTGTGGCCTCATCAGAGCTGAGGAGAGGGGGAGGATCCCCTCCCTCCACCTGCTGGCAGCACTCCTTCTGATGCAGCCAGGATCCCATTGGCCTTCTTGGCCATGAGGGCACATTGCTGACTCATGGTTAACTCGTTGTCCACCAGGACTCCAAAATCCCTCTCCATGGAGCTGCTTTCCAGCAGGTCAACCCCTAATCTGTCCTGGTGCCTGGGGTTCTTCCTCCCCAGGTGCAGGACCCTGCACTTGTCCTTGTTGAACCTCATGAGGTTCCTCTCTGCCCAACTCTCCAACCTGTCCAGGTCCCTCTGAATGGTAGCACAGCCCTCTGGAGTGTCGGCCACTCCACCCAGTTTGGTATCGTCTG